TTTATCAGTTTAAGACACAAGAGTGTCTCGACAAACTGCATCTTGATCTGATGAAAACATAAGTTCCTGTCGAACTGGTTAGGCAACATTGAGATAAACGCAGCCCGGCTGTCGATATAACGATCGATCGCATCTCCTGATTGTCGTTACGCACGTCGAATCTTCCGCGATGACGCAAAACGTACTGCGTAATCGCGGGAACGATTAAAAGGCGCTTATTAGCCGCGATTGGGAAGGAGAGGAATGGATCGATGCGAGATGGGATCTATTTTTTTGCGCGCGAAAATTACATCAAGGAAAGGAAAGTGACACGCTCGGCGGCCTGCGGCAGCAGCGAAATTTTCACCTCGCGAGGAACCTGTCGCGACGACGACGACGACGACGGGCAGGAGACATTAGAGATTGAAGACGATACGCGCCAGCGAATGTGACGACGATCTGACACCCGTAGAATCTGGCGATGCCAGCGGAAAGATTGGATAAGGAAACACCGGGGAAATCGGGTTTTGCGTGAAAACTCTACGCTCGTTTGGTCAAGCGAATAAATCAAACGATTCTTAATCGTTTATTACTGTTCCTAGAAACGTTACTGTTGAGTGAAACTCGGCTCTATCCTTCACCACGTTCTATCTACATTGTTGAAAAGATGCGGAGAAGCTGTTGAACTAGTAAATGGTGACTAACCATCTAATCACTAGCAGTGCGACTGCACTTCTTTTCTAACAACGCGTAAGAGTAGAAGAAAAATTCCTGTAAAGTATTTGAGACATTTAAAGTGTCTCAGAATTTCCGCGATTAAAATTAATGTTCAGAACAACTAAAATGTGGAAGATTGGTATTTCGTACTAAAAAGATACAGAGAAAAGCTCTAATATATATAATCCACATACGTATATGAGGTAATGACTTTTTCTGTCTTTCTCTAAAAGTCAAGAAACTGTATTACTCTACCGGCTCAAGATCGATAAAGTCACGATCGAAGACAAGAAATTGCGGGGGAATAAAGTCTTGAAAGTTCCTCGCAGCGATGTGGGCCAAATACTAACTAAACCAGTTGCTCCAGCACGCAAGAACGGCAAACGCTCGAAGGAGCATGGAAAGTCACGCGCCTGTGAGAAATCCATGCTCGAATAGTTATATAAAGTATTACCGGTCACGCAGCCTAGCAGAATCGCCAAATCCCGAATTACAGAATGGCTAACGAGCAAGTAGTTACCGATGAAAGAAGAGGCAGCTCGGTGAATCGGCAAGCTCTTACGAACGAATTATGTTACCACTGGTTTTATACTTTTACACGTGCATAAAACATTGCTGCCTATTTCCAATGTGCCCATTATTTTCCCAATAGACAGCGCGAAATGTAGAGATGAAACGAGGACCGTCCTACTTAACGTTCACTTCACGATAACAATACTTCTCGTTAGTTCTTTAACGAAGAAGGGAGAAAACGCCGTGCAGCTGTTAGTAAAATAACATTTTGCAATCAGTGCAACATATCTTATTATCGCCTTGCGCGCAATTTCCAGGCGTTCCTTACGATCTCGGTTATCCAATTAGATTTTACGCTTTTACGCTATTTACTACTCAATATATTATAACGCGATTTTTATTGTGAAAGGAATCCAGATTGACCATAAATAGCTGTCAATTACATGTTTTCGTGGCTATTTAAAGAAATGGAATTTATTTTTAGGCAGTCCTATAAACAAGGTAATTAGATGATGCGTGCGGTGCGTAATTACAGCGCGCGTACGTGCGATGGAAGCGGTGATTTATACGCGAACGATCGTAAAGTTCGTTCCTCTTACCTTCGCAAGTGTTCAATTCGCGTATCACTCTCCGCGGCGAGCGGCCGGCCTTTTGCCGCATAAGCGTGCGGGATTACTCGCGGAATTGCGCAAATTTATCCCCATTCGTAACACTTGTCGATGCGGTAGAAAGTAATGATACTTACAAGCACCAAGTAATGATACTTATAAATCTCTCTTGCATTACTTATAAACGCGCCGCCATAAATCAATGCGAATATAATGGAGTCCGCGCGTGTTTTCGTTTACTGTAACTACATCATTTTTATCATTAACCATTTGGCACATGATATTTTACAATTACTATTACGCATCTGAATATAATATCATATACTTCAAGCAACTTGAACTTGTCATAATAGTTTATGCGCAATCGTAACAGCTCATCAACAGCGATCGATCGATATCGATCGCACCATTAAGATATCTTATTTAAAAAATTATATTTCTTTCGCTGTTATCGCAATATAATTACGTAATCGTATAACACTGTAGGCCGGTAAGAAAAGAATCGTGCGGTCCATTAAAAAAAAATAGCAATAATATATGTAAATCGCGCACTAATTATGCACGGTAATTTGCGAGGAATGCATATTCGCGATCAGTATCAACCGGCACTTTGTCAGCGACTGAACCGACTGACACTCGAGATTGTCAGCTACGAAAGGCACACCCGGGGAAGGTGTGTAGCGTATCGCGACCGAGACGACGCGAGTACGAAGTATTCGATATCATAATCGGCGACGACTGGTTTTAAGGTAGAGAACCAGGTGAGCCATTGTCCACGCGGCGGAAGCACGTATAGCCTCGGCTTTACGGGCGCCCTTACGTCATTGCGATAACCGTCCTTCGCGAAACGTTTTACGTTTCAGAATTTCTGGCTTCAAGTCGCGCCAAGTTTCGCTCTTCGGCTTCTTCCCTCTTTCGCGGCGTGCATCTTATAACACGGTGTACCAAGTTCAATTGCATATACTTGGAATCGTGCAACATTTTAAAATCATCGACAAGCATGATAAAATGTCTCCTACGATTGTGATAGACAACAATAATTATAGAAACAGCTATGTAATCTCTGTTGTTTTGTAACACATAGGGGAGAGTCCCCTATTACGAGATAGCGGAATTTCCGCTAAATTAATAGGCATCATCCGTTGGTTCCACCATGAATTTATTGCCCTTGAAGTGAAATCTCTGTTTAGTGGAAAATTGAATGTGTAATCGTTGCGAAAAAAGATTTGTCATTGAATTTGGACGTTGAAAACCTGCTATCTCATATTGGAATCCTATCACATAATAAAGGACTTTCCTCCACTTTCGCTTTTTTATATTTGGTTTTATATATTTGTTACCGGCCAAATCCGATTTTAGGCCGAACTAGTTACCAGACCGACTAGTTTATTACTAGTTCGTCCTAAGATATGAAGTAGAGAAACAACGGCAGCAATGTATTACAAAACAATCTGGCATTTTGTTTTAATTTTACATGGATCAACGCCGATACACGTAATCGATAGTTTCTTATAACCCTGACTTTTTTTTTAAATTAAACATTCGGAATATTGGAGTTTTAGAGGAGGATTCGTTTTCAATTTGACGATTTAGCATTTTTCTTCGTGGAAATAAAATAAACGCGATAAAACAAATACCACAAGTCCCGCCGTAAATTTTGTCCGAGAATATAGTGTCTTACAACGTAGGCAGGAATATAGAAATCCAAACCGCAAACCCAAGCCGTAAGTTTTTTAACTGTCAAGCGACGGTCCGGCGGACCGTCTATCGAGGCAAGTGTTAAGCGGCACTTCGCGTGCCATTCCCGACCGTCGTAAAATGTGAACGTCAATTCATGCTTCTCAAGCGATTCAATTCTCGGATGATGGTAAAAATCATTAGCGTGGCGATCGCGGCGCTAAATTGCTTATCGATGTACGAGGATGGCAATTAAGCATCGAATAAAGTATCACGTCGTTATGGAAAGTATACTTACGGTCAGCAAGCGTAACGTACATCATAATGTTGCTTATTGCAACAGATCCGAGCTGCTCTAAGACGTGTTCATTTCTGCCTTTAGACTCCACTCAAAAGCCTCGCAGATACTTTAAATGATACGTCAACGCGATTGTACATACGTACAGATCTGACGGAGAAATTTGCAATAGCCATCGCGATTACGTAAAAGCACCTGCACATCGGAAGACAAGATCTTTCTCTTTCCTATCTCCTCATGTTTTACAAGCCTTATAAAAGTATCAATTACTTGCAACTTTCGAGCGACAATGAATTATGAAGCGAACAATCAGCCAATAGGCGATGCATCCGCAGCTTCTTATTTTCTTACTTAATATGAAATCTTTAGCTTTGTCTTATTTAACGTGAAACTTTGCTCATTTTACAATATAATGAAGAGATGACACACGTCAGATTGAATTATTACCTACGCTGACGTCTATCAACGTCAACGTTGCTCAAGAGCAACGCGGAACGAAATGGAAAGGATAGAGGCAAAAGGAGAGTGAAGGTACGAAAAAAAATCCGCGATCCGGCAGATAGGCAACCACGTCACGTTCATTCATCCCCGCGTTATGCAAGCGGCTTATACCCAGTAATTAACCTATCCGAGTGCACTTTCCCTATTTTGACACGCCAGCGCGGCTCGTGCATCGTTCTTCCCCCGTTGTTGTAAACATCCGTAAAACGATCAATTTGCTTTTTGCAAATAAAAACTCTAACGCACCATGATATTGACTTTCCCTCTGAATGCTCGCCGCACAGCTGCTCTTTGTCGAACAGCAAATTATACGCCGCGCTCTCGTTACGCAAGAGCGTTCGTGCCCTACGCAAAATGCCACGAAAAAAAATCGACGGCCTTTCCACCGCGCGTGGACGTAAGAAGAGATCCATTCAGCATCCCGGCTCGCGCTGCGAGTAGCAATTAGGCTGCACGGAGAAATGCGACGCCAGAAGAAAGCTCTCCTTGAGAATCCGCCGCACAACTTGCCACAATGGCTGTATCTAATGACCAGCCGCGGATGAGGTTCCACGATTCCAACCTCGGTTGTGTCCCGTTACGTAAAACGCCGCCGTAAGAGCGTCTCGCATCAGACACGCTCTCTCGCGCATCGCATCGCGCGACCCCAGGAATCGGACGTCGAGCGAGATCGCGGATTCGCGGGCGAACGGTTTTTCGGGACTCACCTTGCCGGAGGTGGGCGTGCCGGACGTCGGGCCGAGACCCTGTTGCAGATGATACATCTTGGGGGTGAGCATAGCTGGAGGTGCGCCGAGGCTACCCGGGGCGACAGCCACGCTCGTCATGGTCATTTCCCGCGATGGTCCTCGCAGACCTCAGTGTCCTCGCAGCGCCAGCATTCCGCGCCTCTCCGTCCCTCGCGCAATCTCGCATCCTCAGGTCGTGGCGAATCTGTAACAGCCAAGTGGAAAAATTGTCCCCTTTAAAAGCTGATAGTCCTCAATATTGTCGCAGTTCTTAGCACGGAGATTAATCGTAATTGCTTAATATAAACTCGAAACAAGCTCGAACAAAACTTTTCAATACGAGACTGACAGAATATAAAACTAATAATCAAGCTTTTTAGTCGACATTAACCGGCCAGTGTTTTAATACGGAAAATTTATTGCGAAAAATATTAACTCAGCCAGGGTTGAGAGTTAATATTTTTAATATACATTGACATAAAAACCGGCCGGTTAATGTCGACTAAAAAGCTTGATTATTTATTACTGGCAACTTAAAGAGATTCCTATGTAGAATATAAAACTGTTGCTTTGAAATACTTTTGTGTGTTACAAGGAGATTTATATAATTAATATTATTTTTCATATTTTTGTTGAATAGATATGGCCCTAAACTCTTGAAGCATAAAATAAATCTCTATTCCGTGTCGTGTTTAACTGTACTTGCGTTACACAAAGCTGTATTTAGGTATGATGCTGATTGAATTGAAATCTCTAGCGAAATCTACGTTACAGCGTCGAAATGATGAGTACGGGTTCGACGGTAGCAAAACGGCATTTCCTTGCATAATCACCGCGATAAATTACGGCACCTGACAATAGTACCATGCAATTTCTCTCGCCAGGAGATCACGATTGCGCAATTTTCGTCGCGCCAGACGAAATATTCGGTCGGCCGGACCTAGAAAGCGTCCAGGAAATGTTAATTCGCCGGAGTTACGGGCTTCGACGTTACGTGCACCGAGCACAGACGAATATATCTCGCTGATTCTATGCTCGGCTCATGTAACATTTGTAACTGACATTTATTTTCGAAATATGCATTTCTTTTTGTCAATACATTTCCGCGCTAGCATTTGTGACGTGACATTTCGTTCGCGACTTCGTCACTCGGTAACTATTCAGTCACGGCAGTGCGTTTAGTTGTTATTTATTAGCTTATTTATGGGTATTTATTAGTTCATTTATTTATGCGCGTTATATACGGTTGTATTATATCTATAACCAAAGTTAGACCTAGGAACAGGGTGTCCAGTGGTCAGGGAAATCTGAAAAACCAGGAATTGTCAGGGAAAAGTCAGGAAATTTTACGATTTATCTGGATTTTTCACATCGTTTCACATTCTTTCCGAATAATTTAAAGTTTTTAGAAAATAAACTTCTCTTTGGCTCTCAGTACACTAATTTTCTGTTTTGCTAAACATCAATTTATTTATAAGCGCGGTAATTTATATTTTCATCGTCGTGTTATTTTATTTCAATGTGTTCAACTGAGACAAAACTATAAAAAAAGATGAATTACTAAACAGTTATAGTAAGTCGCAAACAAAATGCAGTTGAGCAAAACGAAAGCATCATATATGATTACGTACGGTATCACAATTGATTTGAATGGTTTGCAATGATATGTTCGTTCCTATTACACAATGTATTATACACAGATGGTATAATTACTTTAATTTTAATTTTTACCTTTTTAAATTCCGGACTTTTGTTTCCCGAGAAAAATATTTCAAGGACTTGGTCATTTAACATTTACTTGATTTACCATACAGACGTACGCAGATTATGCGTCTTGAAAAAAGTTACACTAAACGGTCAGGGAAAAATTAATTCCGGCTCCTCGAAAACCTGAAAAAGTCAGGGAATTTTTTTCAGTGAGTTTGCCGGACACCCTGACGAAGCAACATAGTAAATTGAAAACACGAATTTATAAGTTAGGAGCAAAGAAAAGGAGACGTCGCGTGAATTTCACTGGAACCGCACGTATTCGTTGTTGAACAAAGAAAGATGGTAAATAAGAGTATAAACCGTTCAACGGTCTGTGACTAACAGTCGATGCAAACGAGCCCCACAAATTAATTCCACAAACGAGGGAATGCAATGTACGAGTGACTCGGTAGTATTTAATTAACAGAGCGAGAGACTATCAAATAAATGGAGCAAATAACTGTTTCGAGAGGGAAAAAAAAGCGCGATCGCGACTGCGAGCGTCTGACGATGAATCGTCATAACGCGCGCTGCACGTGACGGCAAAAATACAGCACAACCGACGAAATTCTGGTAGCGAGCTGCCTCGTTTAACTGCCACTCGTTTAGATGGTCAACTAAACGAGAACAGAATTGCAAGTACAGATTCCCATACGGTATTCGTGATTGAAGTCACGCATCGCTCGTTCCTGCTAAATTTCGTACGCACGTCCGTAGTGACCGCAGAGCGTATCTTAAATTTGCGTTACGACTCCGATTTGCGAAATTCGCTACAGTTCGCGGGAAACCCGTTGTTTCCCCACGAGTGCGGCCCTGCGCGAACTGCATTCGTACGCACGCAGCTGAAATAAAGATGTCTGCAGCGAAGCCACCGACCGAGCCGACGCGTTACGAGCGTGGAACGCATTCCCGAGATTCTTGCTCGTCGATGTACCACCGGCCCGCTCGTGATGTATGAGTAAATACACGGGTAATAACGAGAAGGGCGTAAAAACCGAGTGCGGAGCTATTTTTGCGCGACGGAGAGGAAACCGCGCGGGGTATCCATTGAATGCAAAAGGAAAGCGGGATCAATCGCGCGAAATAGTAATCGGCGCCGATTTGTCACACTGTAATTTAGATAATTAATAAATTTTGAAATGATAAATGCCGGCGATAATTACACCTTTCTGTTAAACATTTGTCTGCCTCCGACGTGTTCTTTCTTACGTCTTTAACATTTAAGTAAGCATGCGACGTATTTCCCACACGTGGAACACAAATGACCGCATTACTCGAGCTGCACGAATGCGAGTCGCGTTTCATGAATTGCAAAACTGCGAAACGAACAAAGAGGAGCAGCGGCTCCATAACGGGGAGTGCGCGACTCGCCGAAAGACAATGATCGGCCATTCGCTTTCGTAATGACACGGTACGGGCTAAGATCTAACGCCGGGGCAACACGAGAAACAGCCGAAGGGGGTAGACATTGCAAAACGAGCTAAATAATACCGGGCTATCGTCGAGGCCTCGAAAATCGCCGTCGATACTTTCCATCTGTCGCGTCTCCCTCCTCGTCTACAAAAAATAGACCAGCCTGTAGGCCCATAATTACGCGTTGCAGGGCAAAACTGATCCGAATCACGCTATTCCCGACGCTCACATTAAACGAAAACAGCGATCCGATAAATACGGTGTACAATGCCAAAGTTGAAATCGTTGCTCTTCCCACTAGTAAGTGCTTGAAAGAAATACAGAATCAAGTACTTTCCATCAAAATAAATGTTACACTGTCACTTTAATTGCGAGGCTACGTAAGACCGGAAATTAAAGAGAGTAACGGGAGCTCGGTTGATTTAATTTTTTCGTTAACTGGCCAAATATTAATTCGGAAATTAGAAAACTCGAGGAAGCGAATTAAACTTTCGCTACGAATAAATTGCTTTTAAATTCCTCGACGGAGGTTTAAGACTATCTCAGCGAGGGACGGGAATGATAGTGGCGCATCCCGTACATGCGTTTGGTGCCGGTAATGACGTTGCGATCGCGCGTCACAAGTAATCAGCGACAGGACGGCAGTGATGATGATGTAATCCACCGTAAAACCGAAAGACCGCGCATTTCCTCGACCGTGCAAGCCGCGAGCCAAGGCACGTGCATTCGCGCGGTGTGCACAGCTCGTTGTACATCGCCGATAAATCGCCGCGGTGAAAAGTAATAGTCGAGGAAATCGCGCATAACGGACAATTATGTCGTTACCGTCCGGCAATCAGCGGCGCGCGGGTCTATCCCGAAACGCCGAGCGAATCAACGTCGCGCGGGATCTTATAATTTTACATAACGAGGCATTTTTCCCGCGAACGGCAATCGAATTGTTCGACGCGCCGACGGGAGATCTGGGAATGACGAACGGAGGCAGAGCCGCGCCGATTCGCGGACTACGTAGAGCGAGAAGAATACAAATATAAATAGATAAAATGTACTGTAATAACGTAATTTATCTTGACAATAACGACGGGAGATGTGCAGTCAGATGTCCTAGAACTGTGAAAAGAATCGCGCCATTATTTACATAGCGATAGAGGTTTTCTTCCGCCACGAACGTAAAAATTCACACGGTCACGGATTCTTGCGGATAATTCTTTGGTTATCCATGTCGCACAATCATCTTTCAACCTTGTCGTGCTAATGCATGCTAATTATGCTCTCTAACGGAATAATCATCGTCGCAAATTGTAGACGGATAAAAACGTGTCAACCTTTCGTCCGACGACGCTTGTATGCAATAACGTGCAATGTGCCTCAACGGAAAATATCGCGAAAGAAACATCATTTATCATTTATGTTGAAATTAAAATAGAAAATCGCCGCCGATGAGCGAGAGATATATTACCATTTTGTGCACCTTCCTTATTACTTCTCTTTTACCTTCACTCGTCTAATCAGCTTTAAAATCTCAGTGTGCTTTAAACTTCGACGAAGAAAAAAAAGTAATCAACTTTCTTTAATTTAATGACTTAATTTAATAACGTTTTTTTAAATGCGAGTTTAAGTTTCTCTAGAAAAAAAAATATGAGACTGCAAGTGACTCGCAACTACTAATTATTTATTTAGACATAATTTAATAAATTATTTATTCATGTCTATGAAAGTAACAAAGTTGATATTACTATAAAGTGGTATTTCGTGCAGAACTCATAGTGATTGCGGGAGAGATCGAGGAAAATGGTTTCGTCCTTCGTCACTTTCCACGAGTAAAATTAACGAATTACGAAAGTCCGTCCGAAGTCTCCACGCGACTCATCTTCCGGAAGAAAACGCGCGACATGCGGCATGCGCGTTAATGTAGGTTAACACACCTCTCGAAGGACAATGTGAACAATTTACTCCGAGTACTGTTAATCCGCACCGACTGACACTCATCGTCATGCAGCGCCGTACAATGATTTTTATTTAAGCAATGTCGCGTCGCGCATT